ATGTTACCCGGAATGAATCAGGATGTCGAAACAGGAATAATAATACAACTGGCACAAAAGAAGATGGAGAAGAACGCGATAAAACGCAACTATCTAAAGGACAAAGGAAAGAAATTTCCAGTGTATGAAGAGGGACAACAAGTATTGGTAAAGGAACATCGTCTATCGTCAGCCGCAGACGGAGAAATTCATAAGTTCTTTCTACTGTACCGAGGACCATATACAGTTACACAAGTAACTCAAGGTAATGTTGTGGTAATCCAGGATGAAAATGGAAAACTCACCACCCACAACTTTAAGAACGTCAAGCTCTACTTCCCACCAGATCCAGGGAGATTGGGGGAGCAGAAAACTGATCGAAACTAACCATATTTTAGTGTTGTGTGTTGGTGGTGGTTATACTATCATAACCTGTGTTTAAATACCTAATATTTCAGGATAACATGGATAACACACCATCAGGACACAACATCAACCAAAGCGCTAAGACACTTCGGCTTGAGCAAATGATAGAAGCCAAGTTCTTAGAACTTTTCGGAGAAGAGCACCTGCACAATGATAAGCCTCTCCTAAAGAACATACAAATTATTAACAAACGAATAAATCCCATCCAAGCCGACACGATTCCATTAGATATTCAGTTTGAGAAAGCAATGGCCACCTACAAAAGGGATAAAGACGCAGCTATAAAAAAATACAATTTTGAGAAAGAAATGAGATTCCCACCAACACTCAGGTGTCAAATAAAAGAGGCAGCTGGAGTACCATCTCAAACAATTGATGATTTCGAAAATGAAACTGAAGACGCTATTCAGATCAAAATCGATTCCACAGAAAAGGCGACGATCGAGGAACAAATTCCCACTTCGGACAATATCTCTCATCTCGCCAAAAGTAATAAGAAAAGAAAAAGGGAACTTTGGGCGTATCAACGCAATCTTGCCAGAAAAATACAAAAAGGATTATTAACCAAGAAAACAACTGAAAATCCATATTCAACACTCAGTTAATTACGAAGGAAGGACACCTTCAAGATTACAATTGATCGAGGAGATCTCATGCATGTTATACAGTTTATTCCTCATTTTATTTATCATTTTTTGCTAATTCATTATAACACTACTAAGAAAATAAAACAAAG